TTGACAGTGAGGTAAAGTGCTTAAAATACAAATTAATCCCTCTCTATTCATGTCAGACTTTTCTGTGAGCTAGTAATTTTCAAAAACCTTTTCAAATGTGACTTAAATCTGGCATTAGGCAAGCCTTCCCATCCAGCTCCTCCTGTGAATATAGCTTTGCTTTTATCCTAAAAGAAGCTACTAGATGGATAGAGCAGTGAAGTGCTCTAGGTAGGTGGTGGTGTTCCACAACATTGTCCCTCTTCTCTCAAATTGGTAGTAGAGTGTAAGAAATGTAGCATTTCCACTGGTCTAAGATAGAGCTTCAATCCAAAAGGCTGCTTCACACATGTTTTTTCCAGCCTTTTGAAATTTCACGTGCCTAAGATATTTCTGCACTGGTGACAATGCATTGCTTTGCCCTCATTGATGCAGGAGTGTGAATAATCTGCTGGGGAGCCATATGGTTCACATTTATTTTAATGTGTCTTTGACATCAGGAGAATAGCTGAGACAGCAGAAGAAAGTGCTTATGTCTTGGAGTTCAGCCAGAACTGAGATCATTTAAGTTTTGTAATCAAAGAACTACCAGTTTTCTGGGTAAAAAATGTTAGAAAAACATGATGAGCTTAAAATGTCATTCCTATCAGGATTGTATAAAAATAGGAAGCAGATTTTGCATTTGATGGATGAGCACAGCTTCAGTGGGTGCTTTTCTTAGGGGGAGGATTGGATTCTGTTTCAGCCACTAAACATGCAGAAGGAAGGGCTGCATCTTCCACAGGTTTCTCACTGCTGTAGCTCCAGGGCCCAGCTTGGAAAATGAGGATGTTGAAAGGCAAATGGACAGTGCTGATGCATAGTGCCTTGGACATATGAGAGCAAGTCAGGAAAGCTTTGCTCCAGTCTGACAGCATATTACTGCTCTTGCTTTCCTATTGTATTAGTTATAATTTATCCATATACAAATGAAACTTGGGTGATTCTTTTAAGCATAGGTTGGATTGCTAGTGGAAATACTGATTTTTCCCCTTTAGAAAGGGGAAAATTTTTTCATGGGATTTAGGAGTTGGATGGGCCAATGATGACATCTGTTACCAAGATACAAGAAATAAATGATGACTGAGTATAATAAAACCTGATTTTTTCTGATTTTCAGTAAATGTTGCTAGGTGTATATTCATGCTTTCTAACAGATCAGAACATACATATTTTGTGTGTTCCTCTGCTCTGTCTTGAGTTAAACAATGCCCTTAGCAGTGATTCCAGCAGATTTAACATACTGTGTAAGGTACAGTGCATGCAAAATAACAAATGCCCCAGACTCTTGATAAGGTGGTAATTCTGTTTAGGTTGGTTTGAAGCAAAGGGTTTGAATCAGTTATAGAGCACTTTGTCCCTGACATTGGAAAATGTTCAACATTTCCATTACATATTTAATAATATTTTTGAGCTCACATCAAGGCAGCCCTCTGCTCAGGGATTTTTAGGAAGTGTAATAGAGCAGGAACACAGTGCTTTGCAGTGCTGACTGTGCTTCTTTCTGTGTCCTTGGTAGCTGAGGTGGGCACAATTCTCATGTCTCCTCGCTGACATTCTAATCTGTGCTTTTGACTAATCAAATACAATCCTGTAAACTCCTGCAGCTCCTGCCAGATCTATTCTTGTAAACAAAATTCACATAAATATGAATATATTCTAACTCCTCCTGACAGCAGCATTCAGGAGATGGCTGTGGAGTTCTTCATAGGGCCTTAACTCTGCCCTTCAATGAGCACTACCAAAAGATAGGGTGTGTTCCAGAAGAAGTAATCCCATGTATTCTGAGGGCTCTGAATGTTTACACACATGTTTAATTACAGACTGTTGTATAATTTGTCTGACTCAGAATTACAATGTTAATAAATAACAGCACAAACTTTAATGGCATTTACAACAAATGCATTGTCTTCATACACATCTTCAATCTAGTGCTGAATTTACAGTGCTAGTGACACTGAAGTTACTGTGTGTCAACATTTTCATGAAGTTCATCTTAATTCTGACAGTTTTAATCAGTGATATATCAAAAGAACCCCACAAACAAACAACTTTGATGGTGTGGCATTGACAATTCAATTACTGAAACTGATAAGAACTATAAAAAGTTGAAGATATGCATTAATGGTTTCTTTAGGACAGCCCATGACATCTGCAGTCTTAACTGAGAGATTGATGACCGAAGTATTAGGCATAAATGTATGGCAGTGCATGAAATTCATGTTCTGAATTTTGATGCGCACACATGGGCAAAAATGCACATAGTGTAAAAGCTCATTCGTGGTATGTAGTTTTTATCAGAGATTACTTTCTTTTTTTTTTTTTTCATCTGGAAGTAACTAGATCACATAGTCTTCTGCTTAGCTTCATTTAGCTATTAATGTTAGTGTGTAGTGTGTGAATAAAACCTAAGGGTCATTATTTATGTTTAGCCATTAGTATGAAAGTAGTATCTGTACCATAAAGAGATGGAGACTTGAAAAAACAGAAGTGCTTTCATTGCAGCATTTGTCATTCCTGCCAGTAGAGCAGCCCTGTCAGGAGTTCCAGGGCAAAGATCTGAACCAGATTACTATCAACACAGACCTTGTGTCATAGATACTCAGCTTTACAGATGAGAATTCAAAGGTTTGTGTGATTTTCTAACTTGTGAAATCAAAGGTGCAGTTACCTTCAATTTCTTCATGAAATGTATGTGTATATTTTTTTTTCAAGAGCAACTTTCCTTTTCTTTCTTTGAGTATTTTGCAATAGTTTTATTTCTCATTTCATTTGTGACTGGTTCATTTATTTGGCAAAGAAACTGCCTGCCTTTCAGTAGCTGCCAGTATTTCTTCTGAAATAGAGGCATCATCCAGTTGAGATCCAAATGACATTGATACTGATATCAGAAATTGGATACACCCAGAATGGTTTAGATCCCTCATTCAGCAGGAAAAGGGGTTTTTAATATGCACTTTCTTTTGTATTAGAGCTTATTGGCAGTGCAGGTTCTGATTTAGTGTATTTGCTTTTATGCTACATTGAAAGAGAATGTCTCAGCATGAAAATTACCCCATCTTAAAAATGCTCAGAAATTGTTTAATAAAAACAATTTTTGTTTTGGAACTGTGGCATGTATGAAAAAGAACAACACATTAAAACCATATTTAATATCATGCAAAATTGACACATCTCTATCAACTAGTCTGCTAATGAAATACCCTCTTCCCTCACTAAAGGATTCCTATAAATATTTTTGACAAGTTCTGTTGATAGGAGATTTGCTTCAACTTGGATGCAAGTTAAACATGCTTAATGTAACAGAATTTCTTTTGATTTCCCTTTGTACATGCTACACCTTTTCTTTGTAACACACTTTACTAGCAGCATGCGAGTAACAGGACCTGATCATATTTATCTGTTTTGTATTTATAATCCAGCCCACCTGCAGGAGGTCTGTTACTTATATAGCAAGCCATATACTTTACCATACTTTTAGCAGCTTATTAGTATTTAGGAGAAGTAATCCTGTTTAAGTGAGCCACAAAGTTCAGTGATAATGTCTGCAGGACACACTGTCTGTAATTTGGATACAGAGCTTTATTTTCTAATGTACTTGGTTTTCCCACAGTTTGGTAGATGATTCTGGGTGTTTTGACAGTTTTACTTCATGTAGAAGTTTGTGGATTTACGTTTGTGGTGATTAACATTTCACAACCAGTAATAGAGGCTGAACTGTGTTTTACCTGTGACAAGAAACCAGACCTGTAATGAAACCAGACCTGAAGGCCAAGTGGGTCCCATCTCTGGTGGAATTCTAGATTATCAGTCTACATCTTGTTGTTCTTACTGCTTTTATAGAATGATTCCAAGCCATTCAAGAGTGGTCAGGCACCCTTTAAATCATTTTACTGCCTGAATTCTGGCAATGAGGCCTCTCATTCATACCTGCACACACCTGCAGTTGTTGCCTATAAGCTGCAAAGCAATGACCTACAAGCTGCATTCTCAACAACTTGTTGCTATTTTGCAACAAATCAAATAAATTGGACTGCTCATCTTAAAAATCGAGGAGTGTCCCTTACCTTTCTCTAAGGTTTGTGTATCTTTTTTTATTTCTCTAAAGGCATGCAGCTATTATCAGTGAGAAACACTAGATCAGTATCATGGGAAGGAGTTGCCAAGTGTCTGTAGAATCAAAAGAAGAAGAATATTTAATAGTTAAAATCTGGCATTTTTTAAACACGTTTCATGTGTTACTGCATATGTTTACAAAAAAACCTGAGCACAGGTATATGTAGAATCAGAAGAGAGTTAAGAAAATACTAGATTTAATTTTTTGTAAAAATTCTACACGTTAGACTATATACACACACGTATTCAGTGGATGGCCGCAGAAAGATGGATGAAGGTAAAGAAAAACAAAGTGGGTCTGACTGCTAGTCAGAATTAGTTCTGTATCAGTCAGTGGTGATGATGATAGTATGAATTTTTGAGACAGTATGAAATACTAAACATACTACTTTTATAGTTTCTCCAACATCAATTTCTCACAAATTAGGTAATTGGATATTCTAATCTTTCTTGTTAGCATGACCCTGTGCTCTAGTGATGTGGACCTCTCCTGCCTTGTGCAACTTTGTTGGCAGGGGTTGGAGGAGGTGCAAGTCATTGGATCACCATCTGTGTGGCGACACTGAAGGAAGTTTCTTTTGCTGGGATTTGGTTGCTTTCTTGGTAAAAGGATAAAACATTTTTATGATGTGATGGGAAAGAAAAACTTTCCTGGCCAAGTATTTCTCTTCTGAAGTAGACAATGGTGTTCATGACTGTAACAGCTTGTAGTGGCTTCTATTTCTGACGTTACCTTCTTGTCCTTCTCACCTTGGAACACGGTGTCTGTGTAGTCAGGTATTGTCACTTGTGCAGTTCCTTTGTCTGAACACGTCTGCAGCCTGACTGCAGGCCACCATTCCCACTGAAATCTGTCTCTGTTCCAGCGTCTTCAATCCTGAAGAGGGAGAAGCGCAAGAGAGCCAAGAATGTGCACTTCAACTGTGTCACTGTGTACTACTTCACCAGAAGGCAAGGCTTCACCAGCGTTCCCAGCCAGGGAGGGAGCACGCTGGGAATGTCCACTCGGCACAACAGCGTGCGCCAGTACACCCTGGGCGAGTTCGCCATGGAGCAGGAGAGGCTCCACCGGGAGATGCTGAGAGAGCACCTGAGGGAGGAAAAACTCAATTCTCTAAAGTTAAAGGTAAAGCTTGTCTAAGACTTCATCTCTGGCCTCATTTAACTGAACAGTGTCAGAGCTATAGGGGCCCAAGGTGTGTGTGTTAAACAAAACAATCACCTTCTATGAGCTCCATTTTCAGTTGGAAATAGATGTTTCCCTGGAGTTTTCTCATTTTACTGAAGATGCATTTTTGTTTGATTATACCAAGTGCTCTTGTAGTTGTCATTGCTGTGTTCCTCCAAGTGCTTACAGGGAGGTTGTTCTTTACTCCCTGTTTTCTGCAGAGAGGGGTGGGAGGTAGCCTTGAACAAGGTGTCCAGCAGAAATCTGGAAGTGCCAGGAAGAGAATGAGTCTTCTGACTTCTGGTTTTTTGTGTCATGGATTGCATTGCATGTATTTTTGACTCTTTTTCAGATGAATTCTGTAATTAAAAGTGAACAATATTTAGAATTGTAACTGAGCTTTTTTCAGTCTCCTAACTGTTTGGGGATTTTTCATAACTAAATAGATTCTAAAATAAATTCATAAGGTCATAAAATTTGAACTGTCATAGAACAAACATAAAACCACTCAGGATGAAGGTGAATCACTGACAGATATTTGGACAGGTTGGAAACCAAAGGCTAGTGGAGTGCTAGTGACTTATCCCTTGATAGGGGTTATACCTGTAACATCTCACATCACAGGATTTTCAGAGCATCAAGTGTGAATTGTGCTGTGTAACTGATGACTAGCTGTAGATCCCTTGGCTGACTTCCAGGAATCAGCTCAAAGAGAAGAATCCCAGTGGAGTGAGTAAAGAATAGTCAAGCACACAAATATTTCACTTTTCTTTTCTTAGCAAGAAAATAAATCCAGAAAAATCACAGATCTTATTTACCTTGAAAGAGAAGATGAGGCCTTTTAGCCTTTATGCACTGGTGCTTGGCTCTTCATCCTTTCCTAACCCTCCTCTTGGCTGGGATGCATCTCCTTTCTTAATTAACTTGTTTCGTTTCCACCCAGTCTGTTTTGGGGACACAGACCATACTTTCTGCTTATTTTCCAAATACATGTTTTTCCATCTTCTCAGCCACTTGTTTGAGTGGATGATTATTAAGAGTGTTAAGTTTCTGCAAAAGCTCTTCATAAATATTCAGTGAATAAGGAGAGCCTTATTTGCATTCCTTATTTTCGTCTTACTGGTGTTAAATTTTTTACTAGAGTGAAATATTCCTATTCATCTGGAGCATGTATAAAAACATTGACAACAAAAATCTTCCTGTTTAACTAGTCCATTAACCTCAGTTTAGTTGCATCCCTGATTATGTGCTTGGGTTTAAAAAAAAAAAAAAAGAAAATTTCAAACGTGAAAAGAAAATCCAGGACTTGCTGAATCAGTGAAGAGTCACTGTAAAGTACTGAGCATGTTTTGTTTGCTTAAGAAAACAGGGCCTTCCTGACTTTTCATTACAGAGATGGAAGAGCTGCTTGGTCATTCACATAGTTTCTAAATGAATAAAAAAGGAAATGTGGCATTCTAAGGTAACAGTGTTAGCAGTTATGTCAGCAAAACTATTATTCATTTAATGAAAATGTGCTGATCACAATTTGCATTAAAAAATGACATCACCAAAAAATAAAGAAAATAGAGTAGAATGAAGTTTAGTCAGAGGTTTTTCTATTTGAAAACTATTATGTAAATAGAAAGCAACATTTTTGGTGGGGTTTTTAATTTCAGTTTCTCTGGGATTTTTTTTTTTGGAATTGCATGAAAATATACAAATTGGTGGGTAGAAATTATTTGCTCCTGTAGAGCCTGTTAAAAAAAGATAAAAAATACAGGAATACATTGAGATTGAGTTTCCATAATATTAGATACTGTTTTTGTTGCTAAAAGCAAAAGGCCAAATAAGAAACATCTCTAACTTAAAGCAGGTAAAGGCTGTGAAATCATCTTCAAGTCATTTTGGCTGTTTAGCACCAGCCCTTTGATGAAAACACTCTTGACAGGAGCATAAACACTTATTAGCAGCAGAGTGTGAAAATTCTGGATGCAAAAGCCATCTTATCAAATGAAAGGTACAAGATAATCATTTGAGAAAGCATGAGTAAGCACAAAAAATTGCCTAAGAGAGTCCTTATTGCTTACTCATAATGTCTCCTGACATTAGCATTATTAGCATGAGGCCAGTGCTGTTAAGGCTGCCTGTCTGCGGACACAGTCGGTTCCCTTTGTGGGAAGCTGTAAGGAATAGCTTCCAACTAGGGCAAGGCAGAGATGCCCATCCTGCATTTTTCCTGTTTTACGGAGTGGGACTCAATTTCACCCAAAGGCTTCACATACTCATTGGCCTTTGCTCAGTGGTCATGACATTACCTTTAGATTTATGAAGAAATTTACCCATCTACTATCAAGTTTAATTCAGATGAGCAATATTAGGACAATCAAGAGAGCTTAATGTTCCCCTGAAGTTCTGGAAAATGTATTTGGTAGTTTTTTATAATCTTCCTCCCTCTGTAGTTGGCCAGTTACTTTTTTGAGAAATGTTAGACTCTTTGCTTTTATTAATTCATTTGTTCTTTGTGTGGCAAAATGGAGGAAAAAAAAAAGTTGGAGGCAACAAGAAGGAAATCATCCTGCAAAGGAGTCAGGAGCTGAGGTGCTTTGAAAAGGCAAACTGCTGTCTGGTGGGACACGTTGGATGTTGCAGCCTGCAGGGTGCACGAGGCATTCAGCACATCCCTGCAGGCCCTGATGCCCCACTGCTGTGCAGCAAAGCAGTCAGGGTTTGCAGGAGGAGCAGAAATACGTGTCAGGACTGGAATGGTTCTGTAGGTGCTTTTGTGTGCTGGTCAGTTACAGCATTCACCTCAGGGGTAAGAGCCCTAAAAGGTAATTTTTATTAGACAGTAACTGAATAAAATAGTAAATTAATTACAGGAGCAGGGATCAGAATTTTTCTCCCTCCACAGTTTCAAACTTAGATTAAATAACAGTGATCTGCTTAAGGAATGGTTTGAGCCTTGTGTATATAAAACTAGAGAAATCCGATTTCTTAGACAGGTCATTCCCCTGTTGTATATTAAACAAACAAAGAAGTCAAACATAAGTACACTCTTCTTAGTGCTACCTTGCTAATGTAAAATGAAAAGATATAACCAAAAATGCCATTCTGGACTGAAGTATTCAGGCTGAGTTGTGTGTATGGTGAGGTATTAGCTTCAGGCAGCTAATTCAAGACTCATTTAATCCCTGTGTGGATTTACCTCTCTCTCTGTAGGATGTACAGGAAAAAGGATGACTTCTAATGTTGCTTTTCCTACTTTACTGAACTAATATGTTGAAATACTGGGTGTAAATAATCCCCCGTTGTCCCAGGGCCAGGCAGAACTGTTTAGGGAGCTATTACCTCTCTTTTACCAGTGTAATGTGAAATTAAGAAAGTGGAGTAGTACATAAAATATACCATTTTACAAACCTGTGATGCATCATGATCTGAGCCTGTGTCAGTGGTATCATTGCTATCTCAAAAGGTATATTTAAGAATTTCAGAGAGCTCAGAGACAGAAATCAATTAGGGTCTCAAAAATTATCTTTTGAAACAATACAGAAAAGACTAGATTTCAGAAAGGCATGAGATCTAGCAGCTAATGACAAACAGTAAACTTAGGTAAATAAAGAACAGATAATTTCTTACGTTCATTACAAACTTGGTATTAAAAATGTGGTTTTAATTCATATTCTAAATGTGCAAGAAATGCTTGGTTACCATATCTGTGATCATTTTCTGAAACTTCCTGGCAGTCATGCAGCATTTTTACATACAGCTTTTTGTCAATTGATGATGCATTTCACATAGTGCCATCTATGACGTGACGTACGTGTGAGTGTCATGTAAGGACTTCCTTAATTGTTCTGTGACACAGATGACCAAGAATGGCACGGTGGAATCAGAGGAAGCCAATACACTGACTCTGGATGACATTTCTGATGATGATATTGACCTAGACAACACTGAAGTAGATGAGTACTTCTTTCTCCAACCCCTGCCTACCAAAAAGCGGCGGGCACTGCTGCGAGCTTCTGGAGTGAAGAAGATCGACGTGGAGGAAAAGCACGAGCTGCGAGCCATCCGCCTGTCCAGGGAGGACTGTGGCTGTGACTGCCGCGTCTTCTGCGACCCAGAAACTTGCACCTGCAGTCTTGCAGGCATAAAATGTCAGGTAAATGTCTACATTATTGTCATTATTTTATCATGTGGGGAGGGGGAAGGTTGTGTGTCCATGCACATGTGTGTACTTTCGGTTCTTGAAGTTATAACTATTGGAAATTAAGTATTAGGCAGTAACACTTGTGGATGCCCAACCTGTTTGTTAATGCCCTGTTTTAAGGTTATATAGTGGGCAATCAGTACAATCTCCCAAAATATCTTCAGTATGATTTTAGGCACATACATGGGATTTTTTTGTTCTTACACAAGTATTCTGCTCCTCATACTCCTTTTAGGCCTTTATCTAAATAGGCAGATGCAGACAACAGAAGAATAAGTAGCCTGCAGATTTCAGAAGGGATATTACCCTTTATTTTAGAAACAGTTAGCAGACATTCCAAATGTGAATTATAGTCCAAACTCTGTGGGAAACAGTAAATGACATTCTGCGATGCTGTCCTTTATGTAACATGCATGGTACTTAAAGTCTGAGCATGATAAATTTGCATGTGGGCAGTAAAAAGGTACCTGCTAATATAGCAGGTTTTTCCTCTGCAGACTGAAGAGGAACATTTGCATAGTGTCAGCTGTACATGTCCCACAATGTTCCCTAAAAGATATTTCTGCTAGTTCTGCTGAATTGCTGTATTGCAGCTGAGTTTGCTTCCTGAATGCGTTTTTCACCATCTCATAAAGCCAAGCTAAACTTTCTCTGCTATGTAAAATAATATAGTCTCTTTTCTGTTCCTGTTTTCATCTCCACATGTGGGGAAGGTGTACTGGATTGTGTTGTGTGGTTCTCCTGTGCATATTTGATGTTTAGGTGTTACAGTGCAGGTGAAAGTCACAGACCTTAGGCTGTCTAATCAAACTTGCCAACGCATGGATTCAAAATTTTAAGATATTAAGTGTAGAAGTTCTGCGCCTGGTCTGTTGACCTTACAATATTACATCTAGAATTGACTGGATTACCTTTGAAAATGCACTTGAGTTTTTGTTCCTGTTTTCTGAGATCTGGTGTCCCCATTGGTAATTTATAAAGGTTTCTGTACATCATTCATTTTGTTTCAATGGGTGTCTAGTTTCCATGATTTTTACCAAATTTTGAGGTGTTTCTGGAAACACTTTTACCTGGATTTGAGCACAAAATGAGGTAAAGCTATAGCAGATCAAGAAATTGAAAAGCTACCTATTTTTGTTCCGATGTGTAATACTTTTACCAATGGAACAGAATCAGTTTTCCCTTCTCTGCAATAGTGGAGCATGTCCAGGCCCCTTACTGTTCTCTCAGTACTGCTGAACTCCAGGGCTGGCTCCCTGAATGATTGTTAGCTTTGACTTATTCTACCAGCATTTCTCAAGGTGAATCCCACTTCACCTTTGTGTTTCTCTAGGCTGCCTAGGCTCTGTCATGTCACCAGGCTTTTGCTTCCTACTGTTAATGTGTATTCTCTTTTTTAAAAGGTGGATCGTATGTCTTTTCCATGTGGTTGCACTAAAGAAGGGTGTAGCAATACAGCAGGTAGAATCGAATTTAACCCTATCCGTGTTCGGACTCACTTTTTGCACACGATAATGAAACTTGAATTGGAGAAAAATAGAGAGCAGCAAGTTCCAGCACTCAATGGCTGTCACACTGAGATAAATGCACACAGTAGCTCCATGAGTCCAGGACCCCATCCAGTCGAATATTCAATTGCAGAAAATTTTGAGATTGAAACCGAACCCCCGGCTACAGTTATGCATTCCCAGTCAGCCGAGGACTTGGACTGCCCAGGGGAAGAGGAGGAAGAGGAAGATGGGAGTAGCTTTTGTAGTGGAGTTACAGATTCTAGTACACAGAGTTTAGCCCCTAGTGAATCAGATGATGATGAAGAGGAAGAGGAAGATGAGGAGGAAGATGAGGAGGAAGAAAAAGCAGATGATTTTGTAGAAAGTATGAGCTCCCATGCTGATATGGTGCCTCTTCCTTCTGTCCTTTGCTACTCTGATGGAACTGCTGTGCATGAAAACCACTCTAAAAATGCCTCATACTATACTAACTCTTCAACTCTGTATTACCAAATAGAGAACCACGTTGCTGGCACTGCTAACCAGATCGGTGAGACTTACTCAGAAAGGGATGCTGTCAAGAATGGTAGTCTTTCTCTGGTGCCTTACAACATGACTTCAGAACAGTTTGTTGACTACACACGGCCATCAGAGGAAACTTATAGCAGCCCTCATTACCCTTCTGCAAACCCCTCAGTGATTGTTTGCTGCTCCTCTTCGGAAGGGGATGGCAGCGCTCCCTGTAACAGTCTGTACACTGAGCATAGGCCGAGTCACCCACCAGTGGAATTTCACTCATACTTGAAAGGGCCTTCTCAAGATGGCTTTGTCTCAGCTTTGAATGGTGACAGTAATGTGCAGGAACACCCTGCTGAGAATTCACTAAACCTCCCAGAGAAGAGCAGACTGCACGAAGAGTGCATCAAATCACCAGTGGTAGAGACGGTGCCTGTTTAAAATTAAATTATTCTAGGACTGACTTCCTGTGTTAAAATTCACTCCCATTGGATTTTCCTAGAAACTTACTTTTTTAAGAGGTAGACAATGCTTGGACTATAGTCAATGTTCCAGACACATTTTGTTTTTTCAAGCTACACTGGCAATGGTATTGCACAAAACCAGTTCATGTAAAGATTTAAATAAAAATAATCAAGCCCTTTTTTTGATAAAAATAAACAGATAAGTAAAAAACACACCCAACATATTTCAAAGTAGCCTACCTATGAACATATGTGAAACCTGCCAAGCTATCTGAATCAAAACTTCATGTTTTTGACTGTCGGGCCTGTGCAAGATTGTTAAAAATGATACTTTGAAATAATCATGTTTAGAGTCCTAATTTTCAACATATCTGAAAAGATGTTAAGTTTAATGTAAAAATAACTACTGTACAAAAAAAAAAAAGTTTTAATTGTTCTGTACTGTTTGTATTTTATTTATGGTAGTTTAAGGTTCATGTTTTGATAAAAAATGAACAGCATGTTCATTTGAGCAGAAGATCCATAGTAACTTACGAAGAGCATGGCCACTTTTCATCTGGAGTACCTTGTATTCTTCCTTATTTTTTCCTAATACTATTTCTGATAAATCATCTTGAAACACATTTTTAGAGTGTACTATTTTTCTCTTTTACTGTTCTTGACAAACAGAAGAGTCAGAAAGGGGGCATTTACATCTTCTAGAATAGAGAAAGGTAGACAATCCTTCATTTAAAACTAAAATCAGTGGCATTGCAGAAGCAGCACCCCCTCCCCAGAGCAGAATGATCCTGTATGTAATGGCAGAGCAGCAGCTTCGGCTCACACAGCACCTTCAGCCCAGCACCGCTCAGACCCTCACGCACTGTGGTGCACTCTGCAGTTCTGTACGAGCTGGGGCACTGTGAACCTCTTCGAGAAATGCCAGTGCTCCACGCCCTGAGGCAGTGCAAGCCCTAGAATTCACTGTAACCAAACCTCTACGTCTCTCCCAAGCCAGTTTATGAATATGTCAGTATGCAGTTTATAAAAGCAGAGCCTTACTGATCAAAGTTTAAATAAAGCATGGGAAAAAATGTGGAAGTGTCTAGATTGCCTAAATTTTTATGATATACAGGACTGGCTTTTGTGAACTTCTGATTGTATCTCAATTTAGTACCATTTGGTCTTATTAGGAAACGGTACGTTCAGTGAGTAAAAAATAGCTTCAGAAATTTTGTATCTGCAAAAGTCTGCAAGCAAAAGAATATGTGCATCATATGGATATCCATTACATTGTGATCCACTTGTTTTTAAATGGAATGGGAATGAAACTAATTTATTAAACAACCTTGCTTTTGTTTAGAAAAGGAGGCATAGGAATCCACTTTTCTCTGCACTGGTAATTCTGCACTGCCTTATTTTGATTTCAAAATCTATTTCAGCATTTTTGTTCTTCTAATACTGAGATTTCATTTATTATACATCAAGTAGTTGAAATGTAGGCCTGTCTTGTTTGTCAAAATACAGATCAGCATCTTAGTTTTTATCTGTGTCAAATCTAGGTGGTTAACAGTGTGCATGTAAACACAGTGTAAATTTTCTCTCTGTAACAGTGATTCTTCTGGTTAGAAGCTCTTTAAAACATCATGTACAGTACTCCAGTAGAAGAACTGCCAATGTAAAATATGCTTTTCAAAAAAAGAGCTAACTTAATTGTTTTTATATGAAATCTGGGCAAAGTGATTCCTCGTATTTATGCTAAATTAGCAAAATATTTTTACTCCGTGTAGTAGCTGGAAAGATTTTTTATTTACTTGTTTCCACAAGAAGTCCTACATGTTTTATATGAACTGCATTGAAAAGTCTAGTTCTCTAGGGTCTGGATTCCAAACTTGCAACGTATTCCATCTCCTGGGAGAGCGCGCTCCTGCTGGTTATCTGGCTCGGCACTCACAGCCTCTGTTCCTCCATCACAGACCGCTCTGGGCTCTTTCTCAGAGGCTGAGCAGCCAGGTAAGTGCCTGTGTTCTCCAATGCCGTACAGCAAATACCCGTGAGTTTTACAGACAAATGTGCTAGTCCTTAAAGTTCTGCGCTTAAGAATAAATTATTCTGTTCAAGATATTCTAAGGGCAAATATAACAAGTCTCTGTATATATAGGGGTCTTGCTTTAACAGCAGGCTTAAATTAGGCCCTCCCTTAACACCAGCAGCAAAAGCACAAATCTCTTCTGCTTGGGCTGGGACACTGGATGAGGATCAGTAGCGGCTCTTTAACTTCAGAGTGTGTTGGAGAACCACACACTTTACTGGGGTATTTCTCTCAGGGGAAAGTTAAATTAGATCTTTTGCTTTGTGATTCGTGCCCTTACTGAGCAATAAGAAATTATTTTCTTGGCCCCTGTGCTTTCACATGAAAAATATCTTTAATAATATCAGCAAGCACAGTAAGTGATCAACTTTATAAAATACTTCTCAGCTAGCTTTAAGGTGATGGTTATTTACTATTTCCATTGGCACAGATTTCTGATCTAGAGTAGGATGTAGAAATCAGGTGAGAGTCAAGTTTCCCATCACTTGTTTAATCTTTGATTTATTTTTTAGAACAAAAAAGCATACTCTTCATTTAAGGAAAAGCAGGCTTAAGTCATGGGATGGCAAATATTTTTGTGTTATTTTCTGGGCTAGTATAGACATGTATTAACATGCTGTGTCTCATTTCCCAGCTGGTTAAAATTCATGTTGATAACCAGTCCTTTCATTTCGGGTAGGCTGTTTCTGTGTGATAAAATTATTATGTTACTAAATGATATCCAGCAGTATTTGCTTCTGTACCAACACGGTGTATTATTGTGAAAATATCTAAAATTACTGATTGTCTTTATCAGCTCCATTTCCAAGATATCTGGCTACTGGTAACCACTCGTAAGAAGCCCGGTATATATTTGTGATTATATTGCATTGTTCACAAAAATGAGTCATAACAAAGGCATTTCCCTCTCTTGAAACAAACTGGAATTTTCACAGAGACCATTACTGGAACAGCACCAAAAAGCAAATGGCCTTTTGCCTATAAGGTGAACTTCACCTCTCTTGGAAGAAGGTGCATTGTTAAATATATATAAAGCTTTAATTGATGTTAGACATGAAATTAGAATTTTGTTGGCACTATTACAGCAATTGCAGTTGTTGCTTAAGAGCTATAACTCATGCCCATTGAAACATCCTTAAAATTAAAAGCTGGTCAGGAGGAGCTTCTAATATTCTTTGTTGAGCTGTATGCCACTTAGATCAGAAAATTCTAGATTTGTAAAGTTTTACAGTCTTTCATTTGCATAAGTTCCTGCTAGTGAATCATAGTTGGAGTTGACATCTGTTTATTTTAAGGCCATTGGTCCCACTCCATAGTAACCATCCCTTGCTATAGATAAGGCTCGGCTGCTGCCCTGCTCTGTTACCAGTGGGATCCTGCCTTTGGTCCAAGGGCTGCAGGGCTCCTGCGTGGTGTCAGTGGTGCTGTTACTGCATTGCTGACTGATCCCAGGCCAGATCTGGTTTCTGACCTGATCTGGCTGTTCAATTTCAGTAAATCTGCTAACAAACGGATCATGTTGCTTTCCTGCCTCCCAGGCAATACCTTCACAAACACAGCTGCTTTGTTAAAGATTGTACACATATATTTGTATGCAAAACTGAGCATGTATAAAAGGTTTTATTAGTTCAGGTGTTCCTGACAGAAATGTGCTACACTGGATAGAGAGTACTGGGCTCAGACAGAGGAGACTCTGCCTTTGTCCTGTTGTGTCATCATGTGCTCTGTGCTCTGCTTAATAATGTACTTGGAGATACTGTGATAAAATATTATTCTGTAGTATAGAACAGGTAAAACACCATTTTATTTCATGTTTTGGCATCATAACTGAATTTTTGTACTGCAGACAATACCATTTTCCAAATTAAGCTCAGCCCAGCTCAGAAGTGACCAGAAGTTTTTCACGAACATGAAAAACAGCTGAAATGAGCTCTCCTTTCCCTAGACTGGATTAATGAGCAGAAGTTAACAAGTAAATTTCACAGTGAAAAATTAGACTAAAAATTGTGTTGAATATACAACATCTGCCTGTCTAGTGCTTAACATTTGAGCAGCAGGACTGTAGTTTTCCTGCAACACCATACTTGGCAGCAACAAGCAGTCTTGCTCCTCTGCATGTTGTTTTCTTTTGCCAGCTGAATTCTCTCAGTTGAAACTCCGTGTCTAGGCTGCTCCTGTAGCAATGCAGATGTTCCCACTCAAACATAAAGCAAGACAGACCCACGGCACCCTTTTAAAAGGCATTTGTTAAATAAGGGCACTGTTACAGCTCGTGAGTTTTATAAGCCAATGTTCATTGTGGCAGTTGTTTTAAGTCCTGAAACAGTCAGGAACAGAACAGGATGCTATGGAAAATCCTAAAGCATTTGGGGATGTTTCGCTTTCCTGCTGAGACTAAAGAGTAATTCTGTCATCTGCTTTATTACGGTTGCAGGACAGTTGATGTAAAATACCTTGAAAATCTAGAATTAACTCAGAGAATATATTCTATAGAATTTATTTCTAAAATACTAAATGTGATTACTATTTTTTTAAAATGGTAGAAAGCTGTTATTTTCAAAACAGAGTCTAGTTCACTTACGTGTTCCTTGGTATGAGAAATCTCATCATTTGCCTTTTCAGTGGTTCAAAGTTTTTTTAATATTCCTAATTTTGCTATTCTCTGTAATCATTGTCCATGTGCAAATTATTGTCCATTTTCTCCAAGAAGTGTCAAATCCAAAGTACAAATACTGTGAAGTGATGAAGTGCAATGTAGTTTTAAAGATGTCTGAGTGAACACATGCTTGAGTTCTTCACAAGTTTTTCCTGTTCACTGTCTCTTCCCTCCCCTAAATCCAAGGCAGCTTTTAATTTTATGGCTAACAAGAGTATAGTTTCCACTTAAGGAGGAAAGTTGTAACATCTTTGAGGACTTTTCTGCTACCCTAATAGCTGATTTTACTTTATATGAACATCCACTTTATGAAGCACTTGTTTTGCAGCCTTAGTAATTTCTTTTTAGTTCCTTCCTCCCTTTTGGTGTTTGAGAGGTCTGTTGTACAGTAAGACTTTTCATAAAAATCAAGCCAAAGGGCAACTCTGCTGCCCTTTGTGCTGAGAACGAGATCTTGAAAAGCCAGGTTGGGTGGGGTTTTGAACAGTGTGATCCAGTGGCTGGCACTAGATGTCTTTCAGATCCCTTCCTAACCAGGGCATTCCTTGATTCCAGAGTTAAAATATAAACTGCTCTACTGCTGTCTTTAGGGTTGGCACACACCCACCCCTCAGACAGTCCCACTGACTGGAGAACCATATTCTTGGTGCTCTGTGTTGCACCTTCCCAACTGAGATCACAGTCCTTCATCCAAGGCTTGGGGTGGAACAAAAAAAAAAGTCAAAAGGTAGATTTTGTACTTTATTAACACAATTTTTTTAATATGGAGCTTAGCAATGACACTTCTCTTTCATGAATGAATGTCCAATAGACCCAAGTAAAAAAAAAGTTTGTCTCTCATGTACGTTCTTCTCTAAGTTCACTTTTCCAACACACCATGAAGATGGGATTGGCTTTTCTTGATAGGGAAAATGGTGGAAGATACAAATGTTTATCAGTGTTCTAATAAAAGGATCAAGATAATCCTTTGTCTTCAAACACTTGAGTGAGTGCAGGGAGGATAGAAAGAACAATTTAGAGGAAAAAAAAATGAAGGCAAGGCACAGATTGATAAGGATTATTTTTCCTGTTAAAGGAAAAATAAAGTATATTAGAAAAAATCCAACAGAAGGAGAACGGTGAATTACGATCTCTTCAGAGCAAGGATGGTAAAGTATATGTACATTCACTACAAGCTTGCCCATGTTGGATTGAAATATTGTTTCTGTAATTTAATATATTGTAACCAAACATGAACTCAGTGGAAATAGGAACTGGCATTTTTTCCAGACCAGAGTTCTACAGGTGGCCATTAAATAAAAGACTTATCCAAATCCATGGGGTAAAAAAAGCAAAAAAGCAGCACCCTAAAAGCGTTGCTACTATGTCACTCTTTGCTGATGGCAGTTTCAAAGACAAGTCCAAAATCATCTCAGTTAACTCTGCTCCCAGGCACCTGTTCTTACATACCCAGTTTCTCAGCTAGCAAGAGGTGCTAAAAGCAAAGACAAAATGTCCTTTTATCAATATTTTATCTTGGCATTTTCAAATGAGACTTAACATTATGGCAGGTAATTATTTTAGGTTTCTCCATCTTAAACTTCTAAAATACATTCTTAAGAATGAAATTTTGGGTTGGATTTTGGACGAAGGTTAACCTTGCTGGGGTAATGGGGGGATCACTGTAAAGAACCATTTGTGAGTCTCAGATACAGACTCAGCACCAGTTTCAGCTTCTGGAAAAGATCACGATGTGCACTGGCAGCTGGTTCTCTTAAAACCAGAAGCAAGCATGCTGGTTTTTCCAAGCCATTCACACAAATACCACAACTTCAGGTCTCAAATGCCCATGTAAACAAGACTTAATAACTGGGCACTTCTCTTAACTGACTTGATTGTAGGCACTTCTATGGAAATATGTCTGAAGTGTAGTTTGTGAAATATGTTTAAAATGTGTTTGATGTCAAATAAGCGCTAGACATTTAACAGTGCAAAAATAGTCAAAATCTGTAGATTACAAAACTGTTCCTAAGATCCTCAGCCTGTAATATTGTCTTAGTAAAGTTGATCTTTTAAGTTCCATTGCATTCTGGTGTAATAAACTTTTACAAATAAAATTATTAATACAAAAGTACTTGTTAATACCTGTTAACATAAAACATGGCAGTTGGTTCTTTTGATTTGTTTCAATCTCCAACTAACAGAAATTTTGTAAAAAACACATTGCCTTTTATATGTTTAAAGTGTTTTGTTTTAACAGACTATATTAACATTCACACTGTCTAGTCCATCCCTGTCTTTTAGCAGGTTCATCTCTCTCTGTATACATATATATATATATTTCCCCACAAGAATATAAAATTGCTTTTGAAATTTTTGTTGGCAAGTGGTAAATAGTACATACACAATGGCATAAACTCAAAAGCACTTAAGTTGATTGTCTTTTAGACAGGTAATCCATTAAAATGGGACTAGTAAAAATGCATAATTGCAGCCATTAGTTTAAAACTTCTACATTACTTCTAACATTACTAATTTCTGAGAAAAGTAATTGTTACGTACTTAACATTTTCCATTACAGATGATCTTGCATACTAAAATTATGGAGGTCTCAACAGTTAAGCAAGATATTTATTTGGACTGCTGCTTTTAAACTGTTTGAAGAAGCAAAGGGAAAGAAAGTTCATCTTAAAATCTGTATATGGAAATAATTTTAAGCTTCATGAACTACACATTTCCTTAATTTCCTTTTTTTAAACAAGTTGTAACATCAAAGATGCCAAAGGGTAATATAAGCTACAATAATATTCAACAGAACTTAACCTAGATCTTATGTTGTAATAATTTATTCAAATTAACTGTATTCTTCTGTATTTATATTTTCCGTATTTATTATGAATGATATGAAATTTGATGTATTTATTGTGGCTTATTACTGCAGTGTATATATTACAAAAATGAGCATTTTTAAGTCTTAATATTAGTTTTTTTGTTAATTAGTGGCACTTGTATCAGCTGTATTTTTATTATATATTGTACAATATATATTGTCCATTTGTTTGCAATGAAGTAAACCAGGTTTCTACGTTACACCCTGGCTGCCAGTGCATTGTGCGTCTCATTTCTGCTCTGCAGTCACTGGAGAGCCTCTCTCGGCCAAGAGAGCTGGCATCAGTGCTGCACCTCCTCCCTGACACCTGCAGGGCCTCCAAAGGCACTCTGTGAAATTTCAGCCATTTCTCCCATTCCTGATAGTCTGATACAATAAGGAGAAGCAGTTTGTGTGGAATTTCTGTGTGTGTGTTCTTTTGTTTCTAAATATTTGTATGCCAATTAAATTAAATAAACAGAAATGCCTTCTTAGGTATATCCATTTGCCCTTTAATGATACTACTGCCTATAATTTTCCGTGGCCAGGGAATGTACCTGATTCATAATAAGGTAATGAAACAATTGTTTTCAACAGCTGTTGGAATAAAATTTTGCAACAGCTCTCTCTGGTGGACAATTTGCAGTAATTTTACACATCAGATCATTTCAACAGCAGTATTCAAAGAATACTGCTAAATTTCAGGACAACTGCTTATTTTGAAAATTGATGATCAACATAGCTTCATTAAGAAAATAATTAACAATCACTGCACAATCTCTGCTATCTTCAAACTGCAATGCACATTTATAAAAAATAAGTTGTCCTTAAGTTTGCTTATATGATAAATTGCATATAGCTAAATTGTTTGTATTAAAAAAAACCCTATAAAGATGAGAGGTTGTGCTCTAGATTATTAGAAAGTTCTCACAGGAATTAGGGTTGTAGTCCATTGGGAGTCCAATATTTGCTATTAGACTGCTTTTGGCATTGCTGTGAACTGTGGCTGAAAGGGCTGCTCCAGGGCTTGCTAAGCCACACTGATCCAATCAAACATAAAACATCTTTCAACGCTGGTTCTAATTCAAGATCCCAGGATGCCCCTTCAGCAGTAGGAGGATGTAACTCTTAAGGTTCCTTGTAGGCTGATCTGTTAATAGTACTCACGTTATTCTATACTCACCCTAGACTAAAGCAGCAATTGCTCAAAGTGATAAAAATAAAAAATCCTCAGGTATGGTGGGCTGGCAAATTCCCACTGCAGTGCAAGGTGTCATAACAAGTGGAGCCACAAGGAACCAGCAGGACCCTCTTGTTCCCAGGCAGGGCACCCAGAGCCACCGCCCCTGAAGTCCCAAAAGGTTTGGGACTGCTTCGTCCTGCTGGGAGCGTGGCTCAGCTGGCCTGGCCTGAAGTCAAGCCTTCTTCAGCACTTGGGATTACTCCCTGGATGTGTAGGAGAGCAGTGAGATGGAGGTTAACACTGATGCCAGCTGTTCTAGTAACCTTCAGCACTTCATACACCCATCTGATGGAAGTACCAATTTTTACATGCTGTGTATGGAATACTCTTCACCTTTGTCCCCTGCACAGGGGCAGAGAAGGGCATTATAACCTTACTGAAACTGGCTTAAAAAACACCAAAAGACATAAAAGAGCCAGAGAATCCCCCTGCAACAAACTGCTGGTCAGCAAGCCTTTCTAATTATTTAAAACTATTAGCCACTTTCAAGGGAACATTATCAACAGCCAGAAGATGATGTTGCTTTTTTATTAGCTAAAAAAAAAAATCCCCAAAATCCAACTTCGTAAACCTCTAGTCATATTTACAGATCTCTTACTGCTCTCCTAGTATTATATGATGCCTGTGTATGTATGTACACACACAAATATTTGGAAGTAGAATAGTCACTGTGACCTAAAAGTTAGTTTCACATCTTCAAACAGAACGGAACAAAAAAAGTAATTTAAAATTTTCCTCTGCTTACAGATCTGCTTCCTTCTTTTCTGGCAGGTGGTAGAGAGTACAAGACAACTACTGTACTAGGTACTGTAAAATACAGACTAAGATGTCACAGTTTAAGGAACTATGATAGTTAACATGCCATAATAATATTATATATAATATGTGTTTTGTACTAGTGACCTATGTTAGACCAGAAAAGAAGTCTCAAAAAATGAAAGGAAAATCTTTAAAAGACCATTTTTAAATCACAGAATTAATTTCCCTTTCTATATCTAGAAGTAAATACAAAATATAATAACTAGGTAAATTGCTATACCTAATCTCTGCAAGAAACCCCTACATATATTGCTACACCTGCAGGAAACCCAAAATACACAAAGTGGAGCTTCTCTAGCATTGTTTAGGAAGAAGTTCCTACTTCCAAGTGCAACAGAACACTCGTTTCCTTGCAATTGAAATTCCACCCTTGTTTGAAATGTTAGCTCTTAAAAAAAAACCCCAAACAAATGGCAAAAACCCAACTGATAAATGAGCAGCTAAATGATGTTTCACATGTGCACATCCCAATATGACAAGCTTCTAAGAGGAAACAGGGTGCATGAAGAAAAGATCCTTTACTGGTATTAAAAATAATGCATTTCCTCTATAACATGAACTGAGAACTAAAAGAACAAGTACATTTAAACTGGTATGCTCAATAGCTTGTCTTCTAGAACAGGTTCCTCGGACACTGAGTTTCCATTCCATACCCAAGTTCAACACAACACAGCTGCTCTCTGTGTAATCTCCCATCCTCCATTCATATTCAACAATTTTATCACTGACCTGTGTTACATTCTTCCTCAATTCCCCCATTTTATCAAATGTGTGTACTGGCCTTCAAATATTGGTTTGATCTGCAGAAGTAATAATGCTTTACACTCCATTACCAAATTAAAATATTCATCAGAGGACACAGGGAGATCTTTGTGCAGTGTTGTTCTACACAACCTTCCAGTTTCGGTGGCATAAATAACCCTTCCTGGCACACTCTTTTCAACAATTTCTGTTCACTCTGTATCAAGTTATTTTAAGTTGTACAGCTTTAATTTCCTGGGATACTCTCAGCAGGTTGCCTTACAAAAGCTGAGACACAACTCAAAGGCATTGTCAAACCTGAAAAATAAATCAGCATTAAAGCTTCTGGTAAATTATCATTGGTCCTTGCTTATACGCTTTTTTGTCTTTTAGATGACTTACAAGTACTGAAAAGAATTTTACTTGCTTTTATTCAGAAATGGAACTAGGTACCATTAAATTACAAACAGGCTCTCTCCCCACCACAGAAGTAAAAAAAACCTCCACATCATCATCCATTATTCACCAGACTTAAGTTAACATTTATCTGTAATGATATTACTTACTAGAACAAAAGAACAGATTTATTATTAGTGTATTTTTGTCCTATTTGGCCTTTAATACCCACTCCTTCAAATTTCTTCTCAGCTTTATATTTGATCATGCAGCCAAATACTTTTGTCTTCACTTTATAAATTTTAAAAAATGTATTATATATTTGATGATGCTATATTCTTTTCTATAATTAGCAGAATAGTTAGGAAGGCCAAGGTCTCACTCAGACTGATAAATCTGAGATCAGTCCTTTGTAACAAGGAAATCAAACAAGAAAAAAAAATAATATGCAAGAGTTGGCACAAGAAATTACATATGGATAACATTAGAAACCTCTGAGGTAAATATTGCATAAAACACTAGAAGGTAGGGGCAGAGGTTTACTAGATAACATGTAATTTACAAACAGTAATGAACAGAATGCTGAAAAATGTGTGAATGTTAAGCAGCTCAGGAGTCTACCACAATAAAACTTCATAATAATTTTTTAAGTGCATGAAATATAAAAAAACTATACAAGAAGTTTTGGCTAAACAAAATATTAGTATCAAAATAAGCAGATTTTCCTTGAAAATAATCATAAATACATATTTTAGTGAAATTATTTTTTTCTTCTAAAAAACAACTGACTTCCTAGAAGCTGAGCACAATGTCGTATCCTATTTGGATTTGACCTGATGGTCTAATTTTTTAAGTGAAGAAACTAAAAAAATATTGAGAAAGTTTCACTGAGTAAAGGAAATTATAATAAAAAATAAAGTCAGCCATTTGAGCATAAAAACATACATATAAAGTGTATTGGGTTTTAGACAGCAGACAATAATTTCTCACGACACTACAGAGAAAATTAGTTTTCTTCAGAAGTACTTACAGTATGTCAAAAAAAACCCCACATATGGCCCCTAAGGTAAGAGAACTAACAGGATCCATAAATCAGTGGTCAACATATAAAGTCTTATCATAGAAATATTGTAAACAAAATATAACCAGGATCCCAATGATCTTTGGTATACCAGAGTCCCAGGGAATCTCTTATGACACATTTTATATCCAACTTAAGAGGGAAAAGAAACTGTTTAAACATTCTGCATTTAAACTATCACAAAAAAATCCAGTATAAGCATATGATCACAGTTCAGAATGGTTCTTTTCTTTTAATAAAATGCTTGTGGCCTGTAATATCAAATATTAATCGTTCTGGCCAAAGATCCACTTCTGGAAGGGGTCTAATGGATTACAGGATGCCAAACTCGGATGCTCTCCATTTCCTGTAAGGCACATATGTAGTGCTTCATTGTACAGAGTTTGATCCTAAAGTGAGAAAAAAAGGGAAGAAAAGTCAACAAACAATGAACATATTAGTTCCCCCCACAGTTCTTCCCCCAAGCTGGGTGCTAAAGAGTAAGCTCATAGGGGTGATGCAGAGGGGGCTAGAAAATACATAGGTAGGATGTAAATGCCAACTTGCTTTGTTAGGAAAATTTTGTAAAATATTTTAAAAACATCTGAATATACAGATGTACAAAATATACAAAGCATCTGAATTGACTTCCAGGTGGATGTAAAGATATCTAGACAAATACACTAAAAGGATATCAGCTGTTTTTTTAAGTGACATTCCTACTAGTGACATCAAGTTTTGATCTGCAACTGACAAGCTGAAATTATGTCCATTTTCCTGCCAAAACTAAACTTACATTTTTTTTTGGCTTCAGAGTTTTTGCTTTTATTGAAAATCCAAAATTAACTAACAGAAATGCCATTTCACTGCACAGGATATGTACCTTCTGGTGCAGCCACTGCTCCTCCCCAACAGCAAAGGTTTTCTGGCCTTTGTAAGAGCAGTCTCGAAGCTGCACAGGTCCCTTGGAAGCATGCAGACAAAGCTCCTTCTGAATGTTATGGCGAATTTCATGGTGTGCAGAATATTCAAAGTACTATTTAAATAATTTTAAAAGAAATTTTTGGTAAACAAACACAAAGAAAAGTATTAAATTAAATTAAGCCTTTCAAAGTCCCATACACAAAGTAATACATTTCTTTCCTTATTCAGAGACTACAGAATAATTCCTCTGATTTTTAGCACAGACACTTCAAAAGTGTTTACAAAATTAAAAGCAGTTTTTAGTAGTAATGCAATACTAATTTATACTTGTATGTGTAAATAGGAAATAAGATTTGCTGCATGTGTACTATGATGTAAAATCTTACTCCCACACAGACCATATGTAATTCAGAGACAAACTGAACAGCATATATAGTTTAAGATAACTTAAATTTTGGCATTTTTTGACTAAAAATCAGTATTCACTTCTGTTGCTAGATTTTGGTTTTTCTTAGAGCAACCAAAAAGAAAAGTTGCCACACGAAACAATGCTAATTGCTGTATACCAACTTTTGCTGCTTGATCTAAACAATAAATGTGAACAATAGGATGCTGTTATAGCTCTTGTAAGGTAACCATTACAAAATTATAAGCATATATTTTGTGAGGTCATTGTACCATGATTTCCTGACAGCAGAGTACTCCTAAGGTTCAGCTATAATTCTGATCCTAACAGGGATTTACTTCTAAAAGTTACAGACAGAGCTGTTTTTTTACCCCTTCAGCCCCAGCCTAACATCAGGTCTCTTGCTTTTCCCCCACATTTACCAGCAGAGTCCCTAACATTACATCTCACTGCTACTGCTTCTTGCCTCTGGATGTCAGCCACCTTCATCATATCTTTCCTTTGAATATTAAGGCCAGGCTCAGTTACCCCCCTTGGCTTTCCATTTTCCAGTGGCCAGCAATCATCTCCTCACTACCCTGGAAGCCATGGGAACTGCACTGAGGAACAAGCACACTCTAGGACCAACATTAGTCCTCAAAACAGGTAGTGAAGGAGTGACCTGCTTAGTCATTTAGCTCTCACACATAGTAATTTACTCTTTATCTGGTAATCTGACTTAATCTGTCCTTTTATTTTTGGAACTTCAACATCTCTGCAAATCCTGAAAATAATGACTTGAAAGCTATGTTTAGAACTTTATTAATTCTGGATACTGAGATGGGCATGCTTCCAGCCTCCAGTATTCTAACAAGCAAGAATAATACACAACTGATATACAATTCTGAAAACTAGGTTCTCTTTTATATTCCCATTTCAAATATATGGATGAAGATAACAGCATGGGAAATATCAGCCTACACTGCTGAAAGTCTGGGAAAGAATAGTGGAAACTGAAAACAGAGCATTGTAATGAGAAGGGTTAAGTAAGCAAATATGCATCTCTTAAGCATTATCAGCAAAATGAGTTCTCTGAAGGCTGGCATTTAAAGGGATTCAGACTGTTATTTTGTAGCAGGAGGGAAAACAAAAAACATAACACTTGAAAGAAGAGAATTTTAGTATAGCCCAAGATAACTTAAGAGAACAATAGAAACATACAGCAGATCTCTTAATACAATGTCTTTCTACAGTGTCCCAAACTGTGACAATGTGAAAAGGCTAATAGTATTAATCCACAATCAAATAAAACCCCAAATTCAATCCTGTAAGAAGCTAACATAATAGGGTAGTTCTTAATCTAGACAGCATGCCCTGTCTCACAAAAAATGATTAGGAAGAAAGTATCACCTGACTAGGATTGTGTGTCTCAATTTTCACAGTGCGATCAATGGATGTCTTTTAAGATTGAAAAAAAAAATATTAACACCCTCCCTCCCATAAAATAACAATTATATTTCAATAAAAACTTTTAGACCTTTGCTGACCTTTAATTATTAAGGATCACTTTTAAAAGCAACAGAGAAGTGTGCATTTCTGGGCAGGGAAGGAGATGTTCTTGTTGTTAGTATTACAGTAATGATGGAATAATTCAATATCTGACATCTATGGCAAGACATATTGTAGAAGGAACAGAGCACCATGGCTGCCTCCAAGAGCTATGGACCCAAGAGAGCTCCTCTTGAACAAATGGAATCATATTATTCACTTGCATTAGCCAGCACAGGATGGGCCACTTGGACCTCGCACTGTGAGGCTGCAAGCGTGACAGGGAAGGTGGCTCAGGCCTGGACACTTGGTCTCCCGTGGCCGGATTCCAACCAACATCTTCCTTGACACTGCGAGTCCTGGTGACAGAGAAAGAAGCAATAGGAGGAAGCATAAGGAAAGGAAGAATTAAGAAGACAACACTTATAAGACAGGAGTAAGGGTGGCATGAAAAGGTTTTGCACAGAAAAGAGAAGGCAAGTGGAGCAGTGCAAGTGTGTTTGAAATCTGAATTTGTATATTGAAGTTAAAACATCAGAAACAGGACATGACATGGAGAGTGGTATAGAATTTTTCTTTAAATATCTAGATAGGAATTAACTGTTAAAGAAAATAAAGGAAAAAAGAGATGAGAGAGAAATTGCGTATTAAAAATTAGTCAATTTCTCTAAAATTAATTTAAAGTTTTTATACGGAAAAGCTACAACAGAAGAAAGAATAAAAATCAGGTATTAAATATTTTACCTGGTTTCCTCCAAGTCCATGACAAGAATACATAATCAGTGGTTTGCCACCATGGTTATTTTCACCAACATCCAGACACATGCGGTTACCTATATTTTTTAACTGAAGAAAGGGTGTTGTCAGGATAACAAAGCTCAGTGGAATGACAGAAACTCAAACTGTCTCAGTCAGAGACAAAAGTCGCCTTTAGTTTAACAACAATTACAGCTGTTTGTTCATTTTCACTTTCTGCTATACTCAAATCTAAAAATCCTGTTTCCTCACATAATCTTTTCTAACTGAAAGCCTAGTAACTGTAGTCACACATGGAGTTATTTATTAGCCTGCTCTGTACAATGTTATTGTGATTAAAATCACAGTTTGAAGAGATACACATAAAATATTTAAAACAGGAGGAAGGGAAAGTTTTATTTGTAAATACACGCTAAAAATTCACGTCATCTCAAGCTAAGAGCTATTACTTTATTTTAGCAATGCAATGTCTAAAGTCATTGGCAGGGAAAATGACTTTTGACATTAATGAAAAATGAAAATGACACAGCTATTGACAAAACTATACAAGGGAGCAGAAGAGATTCTTTGCCCAGAGTAGTGACAGAAAACCCTAGAGCAGTTAAAGATAGCTAACGTCTAAAAGCTGTGGCTAAGGTAGTAGGAGAGATTAGCAAACTTCGTGGAGTAGGAGGAATACAGGAAATAATTACAATTAAACTTACATATCCAGAAAACAAAGGATTCAGGTCTGGCACATATGCTTCTGGATAAACATTAGTGAGGTACCAGGTAAAATTTTTACACTGCAGGCGCTCCCTTAAAGCAAGTCTTTTTGATATATCTCCAAATGTCTTCTGTTAGAGGAAAGGAGGTAAAGAAGGATGGAATATAAATATATTAACATTCATTTTGCACATATAAAGCTATGATATTCTGTGTAGTACTAGGCAAGTTTTAAGCTTCATTTGTTGATTTTTTTCTTGTTAATGCTGTACTACTACAATTACTGCTGTCTTTCAGTGTCATAACACCACCGACATCCTGCCTGCAGAATTTCAAAGCGCTTGCAAGAAAAATACATTGCAAGATGGAAAACATAGAAGTATCTTTAGTCCCAAGAAAGTTTTAACAGAGTGCCATGAAGTGGGAAAGTGCAAGTAAGAACATACTGATTACAGCCATAAAGCCATCTGATCTCACTAAAAGTGTAAGCTGAAACAACAAACTGGATTAATAAAATAATTAGCATAATATCCAGTACAATGTAGAATCTCCCAAACAAAATTCAGTTGTTTACATGCTGGACATGCCTAGGAAATGTAACACCTTCAGTGATACAACAGTCACAAAAATTTATCACATGAAGGGGGAGAGACAACTAAAAGAAAACTAGATTCTAGCTGGGCAGAAAACTTACAAAATAAATAACCCAACATCGAATCTCAACCCCAAATATTTATTTACTTGAAAATAACTGACTTTTTAAGCAGATAGAGACAGGATGGTTATCCATCATCAAGTAACTTTTATTCTGCTGCTAAAGAACCACAGAACCTGCTTTTTCAGTAAGAATACGAAGCAACTTGAAACTAACAAGACATTTTTCTCACTCCAGAAAATAAATTAGTTTACATTGTCTACACCATTAGTTTCTCTCACATTCTTCTGGTAGTTCCTGTACCTGCACAATGCAAACAACCCAGGAGAATGCATGAAAAAAACCACTAATAAAAAAACCTCACCATACAAAACCAACATTCATCAACCAAACGCTTTAGGTTTTCTTCATGCTTGTTGGGGCTGCAGCATTAAGCAAACTAAACAGTCGTTTCATTAAAAGATCTAGAATCCTTACATACTTTGTCAATAAATAACTTTTGCTCACCAAAACTTTCACCGCAGCAAGTGTGATTTCTAATACCACCACCACCACCTACTTGTTTCACAATTTTTGCTGCCTCTGTGTTTCTTCGGTAAAATATTTCTTTATATTCATCCATCCACACTTCTGCAAGGCGAACTTGGTTCCGTGTGATCACCTGAGTACCTTTTGGGAAAGTGTGGGGACTCTTGCTGCGAAAGACATGGCCAACAACAGAGCAAGGCATGATCTCCAACTGTCCACCACACTGCCATACCTAATAATAACATTCAGTGTGTAAGTACACTGCAATGAGAATTCAGGGAGTGGAAAAAAATTCAGTAATACTATTGTTTACCAGAACACATCAAGCCACTAGCAAGAGTACATATATCAGGCATACCATCAGTGAATTTTCTAATCATATAAGCTCTGGAAACACACATTTCAGATAGTAACCCTAAAAGCATTTAAAAAAAATTAAAAGCAGTTTATTGAGCATGTTTGTATTTCATTTAATAGGTAATTAATAATTCAATTTTCCTTGTTCTAGTTGGCTGATTGAGCAGAGGAATCAATATCTAATACTAACTTATTCTCAAATCCCCTGTACACTGTCAGCATAGAGGCAATGGCTAATCATGGAGCTAAACTTACTCTGAAAGACATTTCTATATTTTCACCTCCCCATATTTCCATTTCTTCATCATAGCTTCCAATGTGTTCAAAGTACTCTTTTGATATTGAAAAGAGACCTCCAGCAAAAGTAGGTGTTCTGCAAAAACAAAATTTTACCGAGAAAGAACAGTTCTTTAAATATAGATGTAAAATCATGGTGCAACTGTTCTAGGAATTTTCTATGCACTTGTTAGTATTTCACTACAGTGATGCACATTCTGGGCATAGATAATACTTCTAGCACTTAAATATCTTCACACATATTTAAGTCTCATTTGACAGCTTATTGCCATTTATTAAGAACTTGTTCAGGTTAAAAGCTGGCATAAAAGAAAGTGTCAAGAAAATAAACAAATGTTCTCTGTATGGAGGAAATTGAGCAAAAGTACAACTCCTACAGACCAGTAACCTGTCTGTGGACTAAGCAGGTACAATTATCATCAAACCACTACTGTATCAGCCTGGTATTTGGGTGCTCTGACACTTTTTGTTATTCTTTCAAGTAAAGTGAATGAGGAGACAGAACCATTGTCCTGTCTCTGAAAATAACTGTGTATAATCCTCTTCTGCACCTCCCTCCTGGGAATATAGGTAATTTCCACTGTATGTAGAAGTAATGCAGAGCAATTACTATCTTGATGAGGCTACATTTTTATGAATGCTTTAAAACGTGGTTCGCAAAGACAGTATTACAAAAAACATCTAAGATGCTAAGATGTCTGATTAGACTCATCAGAAGAACTAATTTATTTACAAACTATTGTTCATAAGATAAACTCTTTGAAGACAGAAGGATTTAAATAGTATTCAAATTAAATTTACCTAATTGGATAGGTTTCATCCTTTCTTCTTTTATTCTCATGTTTAGGAAGAGACTCCCATCCAAATGACAAACTCCAATCAAAATTTCCTCTGTTGTGGCTATGCCCATAAGGAGATGGTTTACTGAATTCAAAGGTATTGAGATCGATAGAAGCAATGTCAGGGCTTACAACAGCAACAGGATTCTCAGCTATTCTTGCTAATAATGGCTCTAACCAGCCATAAAAGCATTCACCTGTAGAAAAAATGGGAACACTGAATTTTTGCTTGGCTATAAAGTAGTACACAGGCTGTATTTGAACATGTCCAGCAAGCCAATATGAACTATTTTTAAATAGCATTGCTAATTATACTTTCAAAAATATGAAATAGAGATAGAAAAAATGATATATTGCTAACATTTATAATTAATAAAAATTCTGCAATGTTGAAATTAAGACAACAGCATTCTAAACCTGACCTGGCATATGTACAGGTTACACTTACAGTGAGCATCCAGGAAGGTGAGGGTCTCTCCTGTTGCCACTGAAGCTCCCAACAACCGTGCAGTGATCAGACCTTTTCTTTCCTTCTGACGGACTACTTTAACTATCTGAAACTGTTTCACATATTCTTCTAGTTTATCATGCAGGTATTCTAGAAAGAGAAATCACTGTCAGGATATTCAGTGTATACACATGCCACTGCCCAAAATGTTACACTATTAAGTGAACAAGATAAACAACTCACAATTACCCCAGAAATTATCTCAACATCAAAGCCATAAAAGTTCCCATCTGCTGAAGGTTATTTTTAGGGGCTGAGTATTCTGGGGGTAGGGGTGTAGGAAGAGGTAACCAGCAGAGAACAGGGAGATGGAACATTAAAATAATTCTGAACAAGAAAGGACATGCTAGTACATCTCTGCTGCAGTGTTAACCATCTGAATACCAATTCCATTTTCATAGGAAATGGATCTCATACTTACATTATCTACAGCTCATACAAATTCTTTCCTTAATGATGGCACATTTACACAGTTTTGAAAGGCTACAGTATTTACAACAGCAACAGAAGCCACATAAAAACCAATTTAATTGTTCAGATTTTGAGAAAGAAACCCGCATCTCTAATGAAACATCCCACACCATCTTTTTTATTCTGCCCATCCTAAGTATTAAACTGTACTACTGAACATGCTTCACATCCAAGTGTTTCAATAGACTCAATACAGACGTGCAAAAAAGTGTAAATACATTAGTACAAGTATGTATAAACACATTCGTCTTAAGCTAAGCATACAAAGTTTTCTGAGCTTGCATTTGTGTTTACACTAAGAATATACAGAATTAATTTTGAGACTCAGCTTTACTTAGGTTGCCATCAAATAATTTTGCATTCTAATAAAGACACTACCCTTCATATTACTGAATTTTATTTGCCTACAGACAATCACTGTGATAAAATGCAAATTTCTACAAGTCTGGGCCAATTTATACTTGGATGCAAATTGCAATTGGTTTGAAACAAAAATTACAAAGCTACTTGTCATGCAAGCAGTTATGCAGGTAAATCAGAATTGGAAAAAACAGAAATTGGGTTTTGTTTTGTGGGTTTTTTTTGGTTTTTTTTTTTTTTTAGAGCACAGGAATTTCATATTTAACTACCTTATAGGAAAAATGGTGGGGGAGGGCTATTTTATATTAAAAAAAAAAAAAAGAAAGAAACAAAACCATTTAGAATACTGTTATACATGTCAATAGTGGTAAAGAGACCTTAGCCAATTTATCTGCAATTGTAACATTGTCAATTTAAAACAAAAGAAGACGACTTCTTACCATCTACACTGGCATCATCCACCAAAATAATCTCTTTCAGCAGGATGGCAGGAGATGTGTACATCACACTGTGCACAGTTCTGAGCAGAGTTGACCACGCCTCATTATGGAAAACGATGACAATGCTTGTGGTTGGCAACGGCGGGCAGCGCTTAAACTTTTGTTCAATACATCTACAAATTAGAAAGTGTCAGAGTAACAAAATGGACAACAATATTTTACTCAAACTCTTCAACTTTTCTCTCCAGTACAAAACTTTGTAATTATGGACATTAAATGCTTTTCTGCTTTCTATCCTAGCTTTGGAGTGCAAAGGTAGGTACTTCAAATGAAGCAGCTGTTCAGATATTTTGTTAATATCACCACTGAGAATTGAACAACTTAGTTTTGCTTCTGCCTCAAACAGATTTCAGTATATTTCATATAATATCCAGGCCTTCTTCAGGAAAAAATACTATTTTATTTAGAACAGCAGGTACTGACTGAGCTAACTCAAAAGTCACCATTACTGCTGAAACATAAGAATACAAAGAAGAATATTTATTAGAAAAAAATCAGAGTTTGTAAGGAAAATATAACCTATCTAATTCAAATTTCAAAACTCTGTAGAAGTGTCGTGTAAGGCTTAGGGCAGCATGTCCCATTCAAGGGATACAATTTAAACCCACAGTTTTTCAAGGCTGACATATCCTAAACATAACTTTAGATCCAACGGCAAGTCAAGATGACAATGCTGCATTCATAAGTTGCACACTCAATGTTTATGGCCTGTCAGCCTTGGGGCCTGGAGGACACCCCAAGGCAATAACCAGAGTCACTGCCTCACAAACACACAAGCAAAGCCTCCCCAGTTATGCTCCAGGAGAGGTTCAGGTGAGCTGCACTGTGTGTACCAGAAGCAGCTCAGTAAGTTCAGCCACTTCTGGCACAGATGCCTGACAACATTGCATCTGACACTGACAGAGACTGCTCATAACTAAAATCCACTCTCCTCAAGCCCTACAGTGTACATTTAAAAAAATCTTCAATACCACAAGATTGCTGCTGAGATCTTCCATTCCCTTGTTCAACAGTTTACAAATCCGAATTTATTAAATTATGCCTAAATTCCTAATTTATTAAATTAAATGATGTAGTTTTATTAACACTGAATGCTAAAAAAATGGGGGGTTGTTTTAATTGGAAAAGTGTTGAAACCACATTTTTAGTTTTATTCTAAGTAAAACTAAGCAGGCTTCCCAAAAGTTACTCAGAAATTTTAGCCTTAAAGGCAAAATCAGAACACCTTATTTAAATATGGTTACTTTGAATTCAAAACCATGAAAGAAGTGAGCTTTTCTAAACATTCTTGGCTTTGGCACTGTGGATCACTATGTACAGCCAATCATTATGTATAGCTAGGAGACTTTCCTAAACTACCACCTACTGCTGAACTCAAATCCCTTTGCAGGCTGAATTTCTGAGAAGTTTTTCAACTATCGGGACATACACACTTCCACTTACTCAGGAGGTCGAGTGTCTGGTCCAAGATCTCGGTGTAAAGAAATCCTATCACTTGCAAATGCATTAAAACAGTGTTTCTCTTCTCCAGCCTGTTTCTCTTTCTGTTCTTCTGAACTTAGGTTGATGGTTTTAAATGCTTTGCCAGAAGCTCCAGGAGCATTAGGATCTTGAAGAGGCCGATCCAGAAAGGGTTTCAGTTCCACTGGAGTATAGTGCCCTGGCAAGCAGTGTCTCTCTCCAGGAACCTTAGTTTGCCTAATGGGTGCTTTTATCTGCATTTTGGGCTTTGCACCTTTGATATTGTTCATAGCATTTAACACAAGACCTAATACATGACTTTTCTTTCCAACAACTGGCTCAATCCCTGCTTCATCCTTAAAATCTTGAACACCCACTTCTCTTTGTAATAAAAATAAAAATACCAGAAAGACAAATACAATAATGCTAAACTTCCAAAGTTTCCAGTGAAAAAATGTCTTAAATAGTTTAGGTGTCTTTTTCAAGGCCATTCTAGTTTTAAAAATTTTCACACAACAGAAGTTTCTGTGAGTGCTGTTCTTCAAATATGTCACAGCATTTCTTGAAATTATAACACCTGTAAATTAAAACAAACAGTATTAATTTAGATGTCATTAGTATATTCAACTATGTAAAGCCATAAAAAATTAATGGGAAGGAATTAATTCACAACTCCCAAAAGTCAAATGTTATGCAAGCTACATCACTTAAAGATACATCAAACCTATCTATAAAATACCCACAATGCCCTTTCCCTGCTTTTTGCTTTGGGTTTTATGTGTTAAATACATATGGATGAACATGAAATCAGGCATACCATCAAGAATAAAACAGTATTTCTACATAGTGCCACTACTTCAAGTTTATTTTCTTCCAAGTAGTTTGTTTAAAATTAGAATAAAGTCTTATAGAGCAAGGAATTTTAGTTAAATGATGGGACAGAAGAAGAACAGGTGGCATCAATACATTAGTTCAAGCTGCATGTCAGAAAGAGCCATGTGGAAAGTGAACTAAAATATAGGAAAGACTTTTCAATCAACTTATTTCAACAATTTTCAAGTTTCTGCCATTATTTTTTTCACAGACAAGTAATTATTCACTTTCTCTCAAAGATGAAATTATGAAAGACATTTGAAGACTACCAAAATCCAAGTGATTTGAAATAAATTCTCTCTGCCGAACTGGCAGTTTACAAGGGGGTACCTTCTGCCATCAGCTTGAATAGCTGGAATAGCTATTCAGGGAATAGCTTCATTTTTGTCTAAATTGCATGTATGTGAAACAAGAAAAGAAATAAACAGCATCTAGCTAAAAGCCACACTTCCCACTTGCTAACTACTCACCACAAATTGCAAAAAACGACTTTGTTATTTATTCCTCTGAAATACAAGCAGCTCTTAGCTGGAGTAATATATACTCAGGAACAGATACAAGTCAGAGAAAACAAAAACCCCCTCCCCTTACCTGCTTTTCTTCAAGAATCAGCAGGAGAAACTAAGCATCTAGATTTCTTCACATTACAATGTTTTTCAAAGTTTATGTCAGCTTAATAAACCCATACATTCAAACTACAGTGTTTTTACCATGGAGTTATTGTTAAAAGAATGCAGAGGGGAAGCATATTAGATCATACTAAAAGGTACCAAAACCATGCTTCTCAACTCACAGAATTTCAAAAAATCCAAACCAAACAAACCAGTCCACTTCTGTGTCACATATTATTTTCCCATTTTTCCTTACTGCTGAAACATTTGAACTACAACACTGATAACTTTATATGGAACACTACAAATAAAAACTATCTTCCCAATGAAAGGATTGCAACCAAATTACCAAACTACCAGACTGAAAAATGTCTTGTTTTCTCACAGTGTCTTGTGGGTTGATCTTGACTGGCTACCAGACACCAACCCAGCCACTCTCTTGCTTTCCATCCTCAGCATGACAGTGGGGACAAAATAAGATGGAAAATCACATGGGTTGAGCTAAGGACACCGTGATCATTTAGTAGTTACTGTCACAGAGAACACAGACCTGTAATGATGAATTTGAATTTACTGCCAATTTAAAATAAAGTAGGATGGTGAGAAATAAAGGCTCAAGCTACCTCCCCTGGCTCAGCTTCACTCCTTCATTCCCAATTCTTCTCTCTCCCTTCTGCCTAGTGGCCAGAAGGAATGAATAATAAGGGCTGTGGTTAGCTTGTAAGACTTGAGCACTCCTTCCTCTGCACACATTTCCCCTGCTCCAGCACAGGTTCTCTCCATGCAGTCCAGTACTTCAGCATAAACTGCTCCAGCATGGGCCATGCATGGGTCACAGCTCCTGCCAGGCTAACCATAGGCTGCATCCACCTGCTCTGCCCTGGGGTCCTGCACCTCCTCTGGGGTGCTCCTTTCATGGGCTGCAGAGAAATTCTTCACTACAGTCTGCTCCATGAGCTGCAGGGGGAATATCTGCTCCAGTGCCTGGAATGCCTCCTCCCCTCCTTCTTCACTGACCTTGGGTTCTGCAGAGTTTCACATTTTTCTCACCCCTCTTTCTCACAGCTGCTGTGCAGTATTTTTTTACCCTTTCCTAAATACCTCGTCACAAAGGCACCACCTGCTACACTGGATGGCTCAGCTTTGGCCAACAGTGGGTCTGTTCTACAGCTGGCTGGAACCAGCTGTGTTCAGCCCTGGATGAGACTGGAGGTGGGGGGCAGCCCCGAGTCTCAGCACAGAGACCACCTGTGCAGCCATCCTAACCCTGCCATGAAAATGCAACACACAAGGTAAACCACCAAATATGGACAGATCAGCACCCAGCATTGCAGGGACTCTGCAGGTTGCTAACCAGGAATGATTTCCTAACACCATCAAAAAGAAAATCACTTTACTGTTTCACAGTACACCATGCACAAGCACATAAGATACTAGTAAATCTGAAAACTTAGAGATCAATAAGCGATATAAATAGATCTTCCTCAAATGGAAAGAAAACATCTTCATATATAAACCTCTATCTATCAAACACATGATGCCCTAAGAGGCATTAGAAACAGGAGACATGTGGGGAATGCTGCCACAACACTCGTATGAAACGTGTCTGCCCCTAGAAATGAACCTTCCCTGGAGTTGGGTGGGTTGTGGAAGACAGCAACACAACTTAACCCTTTCAATATGGATTACTACACTCTACCAGCAGGCCACGCACAGAAACAAGTGCAAGTGATGTTTCTTAAGGAAAGATCCAGTGACAGTCCCGGAATATTATGTGCAGGAAACACCAGGTGGACAGAGGCTTGACTGCCACAAGCATACAGCAAAATCTTTTGATATAGACAAATGCTGAGTGTAGCTTTGTTGACAAAATATCTGATGGGGATATTGCTTACAATAAGAGAAGAGTTCTTTGTCACACAAAAGAGCAGCAGTTTCCAGAACAGAAGCTGCATTGTCCCAAGAACTTTTGCCATGAAAGCTGCATTTTACTTGGGGTTTTTACCAGGATAATTTTGTAGTCAGAAATACAATCTTTATTCCCCACAAATGTCTCTCACATTTTCGTGGCATACCAATGTGTCAGCAAACACAGACCAAGGTACCATTCAGTCCTCCAGGACATGATGAAGAAATATGTGGCATGATTAAACTCCCTGGGGTGACTGTTTAGCAAAGCATTTAATCTTCTATTCATTACTGTTATTTTCACTAATAGTAGTCTGGATTCTTACAGCACTTTGAAATAACTAGCCCTAAACATCTGAAGTTGGATTTTTATTTGTTTTTTGGGAAGAAAATAACCAGAAAACTAAAATGTACTACTAAATTCTTCTAAAAGTGCCAAAAAGCAGCTGCCACGCTACTTCAAACCACATCACATGGGCAGTGTGAGAATTCAATGCAGTCTATGTTACACTATGCCACCCACTGGTTCTGATGTCAGACTGTCTGCAAAAACTCTTACAAGAAAGCCTTGCTAATGCAGCCAACAAGTAGAAAACTCTGATTTTTTTGTTAGCTTGATCTTAACAACACAGTAGAGAATAATCTTTTATAAAAAAGTAAAAGTATCATTAACCCAAGTCAGCAGAAATTCTTTCCAGTCATGCAAGAAAAAATTCATTGGGGTTAGTATCAAAGATATACTTCACCTCAGTGTTTTTTTAAAAAAGTATTTTAAAACCTACTTTTCTTCTATCTGAATGTTAAACAGGTTTCAAATGTTTCCTGACAATATTGCTTACAGAACATAAAAATCTAAAAGAATAGATAAAAATACTAAAACCCAAACAAACAAAAAAAAACCTAAAAAATGAGAAACAATGGTTCAGAATTATTCTAATCAAAACTACTTAACTACATAACTTGGCTTCAACCTGATTGAATTCTTCTATAATTGGAGAAGCACAGTCTCAGAAAAAGTTTGCCCATTTCTCCTTGTTATCAAAGCATACAATCCCTTCCTTAAACCTTAAGAGTCCCCTTAATCAGAAGGTGGGTGTGAATAAAAACAATGAGAAAATACTATAGGGAAAAAACCAAACAAACTTGACAATGGTGATCAACTGCGCTCACCAAATTAGTGAAAGTCTGACAAAGCTATTCAGGATACTTTAACTGTAAGAAGTGCTACTTCCCCTACTGGCATTTCTGAATCTAAAATTCTAAACAGGGCTTTTTGTTTTCTTTGTGTACCAATGCAGGTGCTACTAGAACATTAGTTACTGAAATGATCAATTTGGTAAATGATATTTTCATCTTCTACCTCTATGGAAAATGAAGCCTTTTTCCGTAGCAAAAAAATTTTTTAAAAAAAATCACTGAACAAAACTGTTTGCACTTCCTAGAAGTTCCTCTCAGAGGAACATCCAATCACTTAAGTGCCTTTGGTGACAGAATAAGAAACATCCAATTCAGAGTGAACCCTTTTCAAGGTCTAGCTTATTATGGAACATGAAGATCCTTCACACAATAAAAACCATACAGAAGCACTTCAGAAATTTGGGATAATTAAACAAGTTGTTTAAGTTTAGCAAACTGAGCTACTGGTTACAATAATATTAGCTCATGATTTAAATAAAGGAACAAATGATCAAATGAAATGTACAGAAGTTGAAGACTAAAGACATGAAAATGAGAAACAGAATCAGCTGTTCAGTTTCTATCTCCTCACCTGCTTATCTCTTTCAGTCAGTTCCTACTGAATGCACTCCTAATAGGGTACACATACCTAAAAGAAATGCACAAACCCCAGGTGCTGTTCCTCCGGGTACATTCTTTGAAGCTCACTCAGTAGAAATGCGGCTCTATTCCTGAACAAAAGCTGTTGGAGGAATTCAGCATGTGTTCAGTTCCTGAGCCTTCATTTTAGAAACATTAAGAGCACAGGTTATTCTAGCAAATACTGGATGTCACCTGCCTCATTGATTATGACAGAGAAAGGAGAAGCTGTACCTCTGGAGGAGATACTTTAGAAGATCTGAGCAACAGCAGCACAGAACAGGCTTGCTGAAACAAACTTGGTCAAGCACTTCCTTCAGCAGTTTCATTTAGATAACAAAATACATGAGGAAAAACCCTGAACAAACCATCACCAAACCTCCTTCTATGTATTCTGATGGAAGTGCTTCAAACTCAATCTGTGACAAATTGAGTTTGAAGCACTCAAAATTAGCACTACTACCACTTTGCTACAGCCCAGCACTGCATGTGACAGGCAGAGACAGACAGCTCCCTTTGACAATTGATAGCATAGTAAAAATACACAGTAATCATTGTTATAAAAATATTTATGGCTTATTTTTACACACCTGAGACATGTACATGACATGCACTTATCTCAAATTTAAATTTCACTCAACTCTGTATTTTCAATTTCTCCTTGGTCAAATTGTTTTGGACCTCTGTTAAAATTATTTTAGATTGTCCCTAAAGACACCATGATGAAAAGTGAGCATGATAGCAGCTGTAAAGTGCTGTTTTAAATTAGAAGGATTAGTGTCTCATTTTCATTTAAGCACCAGAAGATAATGTCTGGACTATAACTAGAGGACTTTTGTTTGTTTTCCTGATTGTAGCAACATTTCTAAGATAACAAAAACACCCAAGTATCAAGTGCAGGTCGTAAAATCACAGTTTTCTAACTGGCCTTAAACTTTTGTTGAAGTGATAAGCATAAAGCAAAGGAAGTTTCCTCATGGGAGATTTACTGGGTTACTGACTGCTAAAGTAATCTTTGTGGGAAGCTTCCATAGCTGTCTTCACTTTCCTCCTCTTCCCACTTCGGTGTCTCTTTTCCAGACACATTTCACTGCTGAATTGTGTTAGTCCACTGTAGTTAGTCACTGATGCTAAACTTTAATTGCTGAATCACTGTCAGTGGTTATGTGATATGATCTCTGTAAGCAGAACTATTTCCTATGGTACATGATCTCAGTGAGTCTTAGGGAAAATCAGGCAAGAGTAATACAGTAAGTGAATAAATCCATGCTTTACATGACTGAAAAAAATCTAGCACTTTATAATTTAGAAACTTGAGGCACTCTCAGATCTTGTAGAAGACAGGCACAACAATGAGCAGATTAGGAGAAGAAACTCATGTTGAACATGACTCTCTACACTGATTCCAAAAGACAGAAAACCATGGACTAGGTAACAGCTCTTCGAACAGGCAAACCAGGCAGCAAACATGGCAAAGCAAAAAATTATCTCAAAGCAACACAGTGTGTCACCTAGAACCACAGGCACTGGGGAAATGTCACAGAGAGGGCAATTATACCTTGTTCCTATTTTGACAGGCCTCAAGATACCCGGGCTGCTTCTGGTATCACCCCACCCCACCCCAAAAAAGGGACAAGTTACGTGGCAATAGCAGTTACGAGGAGGAGGAAAACTGGTCCTCTGCTCCTTCCCACAGTGCAACAAAAATAGCAATTCAGGCTCTCCGTAACTAACTTAATTTTTACTTTGCTCTGTTAGTGAGAAGCCTCAAGATGACAGCAGCAGATGCCAAACTGCCCAGGCCATTGAGCAAACCTGGCTAAAAAAGGAAACCAAACCCTCTAAGTTGGCTGCTTTGTCTCAGCCTTTAAGTCTGGCAGCTCAGCACTGCACCACTGCCTTCAGTCAAGACTGACTTGATCAATAGAATTGATAATCTTTTAAACAAAGGTCTTTTTGTTACAGAAGACTAACATATACAACACTACCGAGATGCATACGTATTTGTATTTCCAGTCAGATTTTTTATTTAACCAACTAAAATTTTTATGAACAAATTCTTCTTTGTAGAGGAATATTTTACACAAAGTTTAAAAAAAAATAAAATTCATGGCACAGAGGTTATTAAATTTAAAGTACACTTCTTCTGTCAGTTTCCAGACCTAAGCAAACATTGTCTAAGTATAGACACCTTTCTGCTGTGCAGAAAACTAACACAGTGCCGGAGGGGACAGACAATGCGGTAACTCTTTAAAAGCCCTCGGAGCAGGATGAAATAGCCCTGAGTTATCTGGCAGTGTACACAACTGGTACCGCCCTGCCTCCCCGAATCAACGCGGTACTGTGGGCAAACCCTTGGGCGGGATCCGTACGTGGCAGAGACACCTCCCTCGGTCAATACCTTCGGTTTGGACAGTGCATCCGGCCAGCACTTCCCGGAGCCCCGTGTCCGCACAGGCAGCCCGGGCTCCTCACCCGCTGCG